CTTTAAATCCTAATAATACAAAGCTAGTATTTGCCAAAATACTATTTAAGAAGACAGCTTTCACTTTATATTATTAATAAGAAAAAAGCAAATTTTATTAAAGGAAAAGATAAAATAGATAAAAGAGATAGATAAAGAATAGTTTTTATTAATAATGTCAAGAGAAAATAAATAAAATATAAGTTTATTAAAAGAATTTTTAGGTAAAGACAACACTGCTTTTTAGAAAGGCAAAAAGCTATCCTTTTTATAGCTTTTTAGACCAGTATTTAATTAGTTTTAAGGCTACCATGTGTTGTAGAATATTTTTAGACACTCCAAAATGTTTAAAAGGCCTTGGCAATATAAAAAATCCAAGTAGAATCTCCTAAAACACCAATAAACAGCACTAAGCCAACACTAAGCCAAACCATGTTCATCAATACTTAGCGCTCTATTACTCAATAAGTTACTATAAATGGCTATATAAAAGACCCTCCCATGATAGTAGACCCCCACTACTGTATCTGGGTCTATTTCACAGGTTAATTATTTGGTTGAATATAAGAGACCCAGATCTTTAATACCGGGGGTATTTTATATAAAGGATCATGATATAGCATAATGAAATTAAATTTTAAAGAATTGTATTTAATATTCGATCTGTAAATAAAAATTATACAACTAGAAATTATTAAAATAATTTAAATTATAACAGCAGTGTTTATAAATTTATTAAATATGACTCTGCTTTATAGAGTCATATTAAATCTATTTAAATTCTTTAAAATTTGATGTAAAACGTCACAAAGACTTCCTCTATTTGCATATTAAAATGCTATCAAATATTCATTGCTAGTAGTGTTTTGTGTTAATCTATATATTTTAAGTTTGCTACCCACCAGTCTATTGCTATATGATTTCTAGTTCCAAATATTTTCATATTTGACTATTCCATTTTCATAATACATATCCTCTCTATCATTTTTATTAAACTCGCATTCACTTATAGCTAACTGAAACTGATTTTCACCTGTAGCTGAATTAATGTTATGAATTAAATCACTGTCTTAAGTCAATTCATAAACATTTTCATTATCTTGACTTAGATCATAGATATTTTCATTGTCTTGAGTTAAATTATAGATAATTTTATTATCTTGAGTTAAATCGTAGGTACTCACATCGTCTTGAGTTAAATCGTAGATACTCGTATCGTCTTGAATTAAATTATAAATATTTTCATTATCTTTAATTAACTAAAATATTTATAAACACTTTTATTTATTATAAATATACTTACCAGAATTATCTAAATCCGAATTGCCTTTATTGTTTTGAACTAAGTTTGTTAAATCAAAATATTTAAAACATATTTACCAACTATAAGTATACTTACCATTATTTATATCTAAACTATTTCGCTATTATTTGGCTCTAAATTTTCAAATATGTAATTGCTACGTTTATGTTGATTTTCTGGATTTTTCACCCAATCATAGTCAAAAATTTATTGTCTTCTGATCTATCTTGTGCTGTGGAAATACTGCAGCACTTGAATAAGCGTATAATAAGGTTGGTGTCGATTTGATTTCATGCTAAATTTACCTAATTAGCTACTAAGCTATACGAAGGGCGCTAGATACGACCTGAAGGAGTTAGTTGGTGAATTTCATTTGCCATCTATTTGTTATAGTAGTTGCGATACTAATATTAAAAAAATAAGTTAACTTTTAATTTTACAATTAAATTAATTTTATCTTATTTTTAATTAGAAATT